CCTATAAGCGAAGTGGGAATTTGTGAGAAACAAATGGTCTCTTATAGGCAAGAGATGGGAACGGAGATTAGCGCGAGGAAGACTGATGGAACAGTTGTGTGTGGTGGAGAGAGAAGGGTGTATGGTGGTGGAGAGAGAAGGGTGTATGGTGGTGGTGGAGAGAAGGGTGTATGGTGGTGGTGGAGAGAGGGGTGTATGGTGGTGGTGGAGAGGGATGTATGGTGAACGAGAGGGTTGTATGGTGGTCAAAAGGGGTGCATGCAGAGTGTGTGAAAGCAGACAGGTGTGTGTATGACAGCAGACAAAGGGAGTGAAGGATAGTGAAGAAAGAAATGGATGGAGAATAATGACACAAGGAAAGGGCAGGAGAGTGGACCCTTTCCTGGATCTTTTTCAACATATTTACATAATTGAACATCCATTATCTTGAACGTGTAATTGCAAGTCAACCTCATTAAGAGTTGACAAATTCACACATCAGCACACTGTGCTGGCAGCTGGGTGTAATGCTTCATATCAATATTAAATCTCAATTTTATTTCCTTGCCTTCAGCTTATATATGATCTGATGTCTTTACAGTACATTTCAGGTCGTTTATCGAGGCAATTAGGATCACTAGCGACAGCCTGACTTCTTGCAGGGTCGGTGTTCGATCCCCGATGGTCCAAGAGGATGGGCAGCGTTCCTTTACTCCGTCCTCATATCTTAGCGCCATGTCCTCATATTCCAGCTCCTTGTCCTCATATTCCTTCCAGGTGCAAATACGTCATACTGGCATAACACTTTCTCCTCATAGTTACCTTACCTTTAATGATAGAACAACGTCTATAAGTTTCTAAATAAAAATATACGTCGGAACTTCATACACGTGTGTGTGTGATAATGCTGCCACCAATGCTAAAAAAATAGCATTACTGATATTATGATCATCAATGGTGGCAGCAAAATTTTCGATTTTTCTTTTTACATAAATAAAGCCTAAAACCACTAGGCTTTCTAGTGCTTTAATATAAAAAAAAAATGATGTAAGCACTGGAAACGTTTATCTTCAGCTTTAAAGAAAAGGAAAATAAGTGGATTATGACTCTTCACTTAAGAGAGACGTCAAGCAAAACGTTCAATGTCTTAAGTCGTGTCATAAAGTGAGCAGTCCCTGGAGCCTTGAAGGGGAAAACAACATTACTGGGGTTGCTGGGAGAAGTGTGCTAGGAGGATGGCTGGGAACCACCGACCCAGGAGGTGATTTCTGGCTGGATTGGCGTAGGATGTGACAGTCTGCAAGGTTTCCTCAGCAACTGCCAGCCAGATGGGCCAGGAGAGTTGACCTAGGACGTGACAGCCGGCCAGGCTAGGAAGGTAGGCCTAGGCTGCATCAGCCGGCTAGGCAGGGACACCCACAAACATCTACAACAACAACACATGACGCTCGAGTCAAGACGTGGCGCCCTCGTCTCTAAGAGAAATCTCATTTTATTTGAGTTGATGTCTTCCTCTGATTGTTAGTATCACCACGTGAATATAGTAGCAAAAAGGATAGGATAATAGCCTTGGGATCGCTGGGTTGTTTCAAGTGTAGGTTAGACATATATATGAATATGTTTGGGTGAGGGTAAATAGGAGCTGCCACGTTGAACCAATAGGCGCTGAATCGTATGAACCCATAGGACTTTTGCGGGTCCAATTCTTCTTCTCCTCCTTGAAAATCTGGACCCAAGAGCTCAACCCCACACTTGTGGCACGTCTAGGTAAGAACCCATCACTCTTCTCCCTGCCAATTACTCTCCCTAATATTAGCCTTCCCAAGTTTGACTTTTTCTCAAAGACATTTACGTCAGTTGAGTTATGGGAAGACCCTCGGCTCCCTCAAGGTGTAATTCACACGCTAATTACCGGGTAGTTCAGAGCTGATGTCTCCCTTGCTCTGGTTAATCTTTCTTCACGATTCCTTACTTTATGCTTCTCGTTTCACTTTATTTTTAATCATATTTACATTTAAAACTTTGTATCGAACTAACTTTTAACAACCTCATCTAGTCCGGTCCACTTATTTACGGCTCTTGGACTGAAAAAGTTATTTCTGGCAGTTATGTTACTCTGTGTTTCCAGTTTCCAATAATGTTCCCTCACATGAACATTGCATGTATATCTACTTAGTATCTTGTACGCCGTTATCACGTCTGCCCTATTCCTTCTTTCCTCAAGTGTAGTGAGGTCCAGTTCCCTCAGTCTTGCTTCATAGCTCATTCCATTAGTTCAGGAACGAGCCTTGTTGCATATTGTTGGAACTTTTCTACTTTTGTGTTTGTGACAGAGTAGCATGGTGGTACAGCACAGTAACAGGACTCACAATGGATGTATAACGCGCTGGGACGGGATCTTTGTGCAAGTTGGTGAAGGATAACCGGAGGTGTGCCAGTATGGCTTATGCTGCCCTCGTTATCCTGCTGATGTGTGCCTCTGGTGTTAGGTCTCCAATTATGTCCAGTCGTAAGACTTTCTCATTTTCAGAAGTTGGAAGTTGCCTTCTCTTCATCCCGTACTGTATGTGAGGTCTTCTTGCTCCAACTCTCATAACCTTGCAATTATCAGGGTTATGGTCTAATAGACATTTTTTCAGACCATCTCTGGAGATTGTCTGGTTCATCTTGTAATGTCTTGCAGTCCTCTTCAGTTGTGATTCGCCTGATTAGCTTAGCACCATCAGCAAACACGGGTAAGACAGCTTACTTCCCCAGTAAGATCGTTGACTTATATAAGGAAGAGGATGGGTCCCAGGTGCGGCCTCCTGAGGTTCATCTCCACTTGTTACATCTTTCCATTGTGATTAGTTTCCACTTACCGTGACTCTTTCTTCTTTCTAAAAGGTAACCCTTCGCCCACTTTAGTTCTCTTACCAATGCACCAGCTTGCTTTTCTAGTTTCCATTGCAATCACTTGCGAGGAACAGTGTCAAAATCTTTCCGGCAATCCAGGAAACTGCAGTCAGCCTGGACTCTCGTGTGTTTGTGTGTGTGTAATGTGTTGATGAACCGACGGAGTGAAGTGTTCTTATAGTGGTATTAGTAATATTGTAGGAAATAAAGAAGATAAAGAAGAGATGGAGAGAAGAGGATAAGGAGGAGGGGGTGAACGGGGTAGGAGGGGAGGGGGAGGGGTGAGAGGGGAAGAGAGGAAGGGGAAGGATAGACTGACAGACACACACCAGGTACTACCAGGTACTCCTATTACACCCTCACACTGAATACAGGCGTATGTACAATACAGTGGAAGTCGGCCATTATGGCCTGCATGTCTGTGCTGTGGAAGCTCAAAGGGTCGGCATGCAAGACACAATGAAGTTAATAACTTCATCAAGAGGAGTCTTGCCACAGCTCTGTGCCCAGCAGAGAGAGAACCTCGTTTTCCTCTGGCCCAAAACCCTGGTAGCTCTGGACTTAATTCAGATGGGATCACAATATACGCCTGGAAGATCGATACACAGCAGGTGTGGGACTACACATGTGTAACTACCCTGGCTGTTGATGGTGCGGCCAACTACAGAGACACAGAAGAATCAAACAAGTACAAGCAACTAGAACATTGGTACACATTTGTCCCCAAAGCATCAAGAAACTCGTGCCCCCCCCCCCCCCAGGCAAGGCTGGCATGAGCTTCCTCAAGCAATTAGGGTTGTAGGCACACTGACACTACCAGAGACCCAAGAGCTGCCAGTTCCCTGCTTGAGCGCCTCAGTGTGGTGATCCAGAGGGAAGACGCCTGCTGTGTCCTCACTTCCTGTCTGGAAGCTGAGCAGCTCCAAGAGAGCCACAACCCTCTACCTCACATTGTCTTCACCAACTTGTAACTTGTAAGAATGTCATGTAAAGTAAAATAAAAACAAAACAAGTGATTTGGTAGGACAAAAGAACATGGAACCTGCATTGGTGGGGACCTAAACGTCCCCTCGAATGCTTTGTGTGTCTTTCACCGAGGCTTTGGGTCCCCTTCTTCCTGCCAGAGGTGGTACCCCTTATATATATATATATATATATATATATATATATATATATATATATATATATATATATATATATATATATATATATATATATATATCAACCAAAATTTTAAACAAGGTTTAATATTAAGGTAAAGGTGAGTCGTGATCTAATATATGGCGTGTAATGCCAGGTAAAGCCTGATTCCTTGGCAGTTTCTGAGGGTAATCGGATTACCTCAAGACGCAAGCTGGTATTTCCCCGAGCCGGCAGTTACGTTCCTCGTCCACCAAAGGGAAATTGCAAAATATATATATATATATATATATATATATATATATATATATATATATATATATATATATATATATATCCTAGCCGAGAGGGAAACAATTGGACAGAGTATCATCTCACTGAGGCCTGTGTTCACCTACCCATAAGTTGGAGTGTAATGTAATGCAGCTGTTCTGCATTACATTACACAACTGACGGTTAGGAAGGCGGGGTCCAAGAACTAGCAGCTCGATTCTGCAGGCACAAATACTCGCGCGCACACACACACACACACACACACACACACACACACACACACACACACACACACACACACACACACACACAAGGGTACATATGTAAGCAATACAATATAGAACACTATTGAACACTTTATCTTTATATAGTCAATACGATTTACTTGAAAAATTATTATGGCACTATGTTAGCTTGAGTGTTATATGTTGCAACACCCAGAACTTTCGAGCTCGTAAACTGTTTAGTAAATGTAAATCAAGCCGCCATAATCGAGGTAAGAGTTACAGGGGTCATAAGTAGAGACGTAAGATGAACACGCAAGTGCAACTGGCTTCGTAACTAAAGTATACAGGTGTCGTACCTTCGTAAGGTATCCAGGTGTCGTAAGTGTAATACCGTTCAATCAACGTTGAAAGACCGTTATAAACGTCGATTCAACGTGGAATGAAGGTGGTTTGAGTAGGAGGTGAGCCAAGCGAGAGAGATCTTACCGTGAGAGTGGACGCCCCCAGGATGGCGCCACCGCCGCCGCTGCTGGCCCTCTCCCCCTCCATGTTGCCGAAGCCGTTCCAAGGGCCTCCACGCCTCGTGCCTCCTCCATAGCGCCCTCCATCGCTGCCTCCTGCACCTCCAGGACGCTTACGCCAGAGGTAGTTCACCAGAGTGAACTCCAGCAGGGCGCAGAACACGAACGCTGCCCACGAGGAGGAAGAAGAGGAGAGACTGTAGTCAGTGTTATAGGTCGAAACACCTGTGGCAGGGTAATGAGTATGTAATAGGTAAGTAATAGCCATGTAATTATTAGCAAGTAATGTACCCGTCACAATAAAAATAATGGAGTTATATACGAACTTCAATATTTTGGGTTGTTCGGGTTCGAACCCGCGTCCCTGGAGTTCCCTAGACACACGTACTACCGACTGAACCATGATGGGCTATATGTATCACAAACATGTACATAAATGAATTTTGTGTACTAGTGATGTATGAATAAAGGCAATGAATTTTTTGTACTAGTGATGTATGAATAAAGGCAATGAATTTTTTGTACTAGTGAAGTATGAATAAAGGCAATGAATTTTTTGTACTAGTGATGTATGAATAAAGGCAATGAATTTTTTGTACTAGTGATGTATGAATAAAGGCAATGAATTTTTTGTACTAGTGATGTATGAATAAAGGCAATGAATTTTTTGTACTAGTGATGTATGAATAAAGGCAATGAATTTTTTTTTTAGAGTTGTATAATGGGATCGAAGTGGCGTCCAAGGACTGTCCCGGCACACAGGTTCGAGCCCCATATATACCTCAATATATTTGAACACGAAACAATGGGTGTAAATTGGATAAGTTTAGATTTAGGAAAGACTTGGGTAAATACTAGTTCGACAACAGGGTTGTTGATTTGTGGAACCAATTACCGCGTAACGTGGTGGAGGAGGGGTCCCTCCATTGTTTCAGGCGTAGGTTGGACTTGTATATGAGTGGGACTGGGTGGTTATAAATAGGAGCTGCCTTGTAGGGGCCAATAGGCATTCTGCAGTTACCTTTGTTCTTATGTTCTTGACTTCTATCAGGTCGTTTATCAAGTTTTTTCCACCCTTCACCTTGATAAATAGATCCGGATCAAGTCCAGGATCATTATTAAGTCCTGGATCATTATCAAGTCCTGGGCCTTTATCAAGTCCCGGGCCGTTGACCGGGACAGCTGCCGTGATATATACACCACCAAGCCTGATAGATTTAGAACCGGATTATTGATGCGTGACAGTGAAGTCGAAACACTGCTTGATACTGTAATATACCCGGGCTCTGGGGCTCATATTGATAGTCACGACGCTTTGGTGAATACTGAGGCCAGTCTTACTACCATATAATACATATGTGGCACCGATAGATTGCTTCAAGCATAGGTTCTCTGTGGCACCGATAGATTGCTTCAAGCATAGGTTCTCTGTGGCACCGATAGATTGCTTCAAGCGTAGGTTGTCTGTGGCAGCGATAGATTGCTTCAAGCATAGGTTGTCTGTGGCAGCGATAGATTGCTTCAAGCGTAGGTTGGGCATATAAATGAATGTTTGGGTGGGTGTAAATAGGAGCTGCCTCATATGGATCAATAGCCTTGGATGGGACAATAGGAGCTGCCTCGTATGGATCAATAGGAGCTGCCTCATATGGATCAAAAGCTGCCTCGGATGGGACAATAGGAGTTGCCTCGTATGGGACAATATAAACTGCTTCGTATGGACCAACAGGAGCTGCCTCGTATGGACCAATAACTGCAGACTCACAGAGACCAATAGCTGCCAAGGTAGAAGTAATTACCAAGAGAAAGCACTAAACGAGGCACAGAGAGAATGGGAAGAAAATGTCTCTTTATTTTTTTTCCACGAAAAAGCCACAAAAAGCTGCCCTTGCTTAGGATGACCGATAATGACGGCACCATAACCATCATTCATACTAATGAGTTGTTAGACACGCCCTAAAAAAAACAGCAATACGCGTGGACAAAACAGCAAAAGAAGAAGAAAAACAAGCCAATAAGTGAATGTCAAGCGTGGCCATTGTCTTGCCCCGAGCTAGAGGAAGGAGAGAGAGTTACACAGCTGGCCCTCTGATCGTTTACCCATGTAATTACCTCGTTAACGTGTCAGGTTGGACAGTTTCCACAAGACGCGTTCAGGCCTTCCACCACTCCACGCCTCACTCCAAAATACCCACACACATATTATATATATATATATATATATATATATATATATATATATATATATATATATATATATATATATATATATATATGATCATCATGTACATGATCCCAATTTTACACGCTGTGCCACAGAGTGGGCCTCTCGTGCAGGCCAATCACCTCAACCACCATCCCCAAAATCCCACAAGCAATCCAGCTGGGATGGTCCCATTGTAGACCAAGTTGCTGCAGAGTGCCTGGGTGCTGCAACAACACAACACGACATTGCTCGCCTCACAGCAGTAGCAGCACCACATGCAGGGGATTTCCTGTTAGCAACCCCAATGTCGGCAACTGGCACGCGTCTCACACCACACGCCCTCCGAATTGCTGTGGCCCTCCGCCTTGCTGCCCCAATCCACACCAGATATAGGTGTATTTGCGGCGAGGTGGTGGCTGACAGGTACGGTCACCATGGCCTACTCTGCCAAAGCACAGGGGGATGGCACTCGAGGCACAGTGAAGTTAACGACATCATCAAGAGGAGCCTCACCACAGCTGGATGCCCAGCTGAAAGAGAGCCCCGTTACCTAACGCCCCGTAACTCTGATGCTCTTATTGGTCGCCCGGATGGTATCACAGTGAACCCCTGGAAGAATGGCAAGCAGTTGGTATGGGACTACACGTGCGTATCAACCCTGGCTAACACCTACATTAACCTCAGTGTTGCACAACCAGGTGGCGCTGCCACCCACAGGGAAGCAGCCAAATCCCGTAAGTATAGAGAACTGGATCACCACTACAATTTTGTCCCCATTGCTTCTGAGACGCTCGGCGCCTGGGGTAAAAGTGCTACCAGTTTTTTGAAGGAACTGGGTTCTAGGCTCATTGAAACAACAAGGGACCCGAGAGCTGCAAGCTTTCTTTTCCAGCGCCTCAGTGTGGCGATACAGAGGGGAAATGCGCACTGCATCCAGGGTTCCTTCCCGCCATCTGAGGAGCTGGAGGAACTCGACAACCTATGACAACCATCTTTGTAACCCATATGTAACTCCTTTTTTGTAACAAACTTCAAATAAAGTAAATATATATGTGTACATACAAAAGAATGGGGGTGGTAGGAGAAGATAATATTAGTGTTCAGTGAGAAACCACAAGGTCTCCTCTGAATACTTTTTATTTTCTTCTCCGAGGCTATGGGTCCCCACATTGGCACCAGAGGTGGTACCCTCACAAACTTTTTTATATATATATATATATATATATATATATATATATATATATATATATATATATATATATATATATATATATATATATATACACTAACTTTATTTTCAAAGTAAAATAAAACAGGCAAAGGATGAAATAACAGGAGTGATAACATCTCTACACACCTGCCTATATTATCCCTCTACACACCTGCCTATATTATCCCTCTACACACCTGATCCTAACATCTAACTACAAACCGTCGATATGTTTACGAAATCGACCAATTCGTGAAAAAAATGCAATGTATTAGTTAAAAGCAACGTAATATTGTCATTTATATTGTCATAATGTCGTAATATTGTCATAATGTAATATTGTCATTGTCAATATTGTCATTCATAGGCCTCGATTGGTTAGGTGGGTTGCTTGGGTTTGTACGTTTCTGGTTAGGCAAAACAGTCGCATTCTTTACGAGGTGGCGACTGATGAGGACGGCCTGCCTGGCAACTGATGAGGACGGCCTGCCTGGCAACTGATGAGGACGGCCTGCCTGGCAACTGATGAGGACGGCCTGCCTGGCAACTGATGAGGACGGCCTGTCTGGCAACTGATGAGGACGGCCTGTCTGGCAACTGATGAGGACGGCCTGTCTGGCAACTGATGAGGACGGCCTGTCTGGCAACTGATGAGGACGGCCTGTCTGGCAACTGATGAGGACGGCCTGTCTGGCAACTGATGAGGACGGCCTGTCTGGCAACTGATGAGGACGGCCTGCCTGGCAACTGATGAGGACGGCCTGCCTGGCAACTGATGAGGACGGCCTGTCTGGCAACTGATGAGGACGGCCTGTCTGGCAACTGATGAGGACGGTCTGCCTGGCAACTGATGAGGACGGCCTGCCTGGCGACTGATGAGGACGGCCTGCCTGGCAACTGATGAGGACGGCCTGTCTGGCAACTGATGAGGACGGCCTGTCTGGCAACTGATGAGGACGACCTGTCTGGCAACTGATGAGGACGGCCTGTCTGGCAACTGATGAGGACGGCCTGTCTGGCAACTGATGAGGACGGCCTGTCTGGCAACTGATGAGGACGGCCTGTCTGGCAACTGATGAGGACGGCCTGTCTGGCAACTGATGAGGACGGCCTGCCTGGCGACTGATGAGGACGGCCTGCCTGGCAACTGATGAGGACGGCCTGTCTGGCAACTGATGAGGACGGCCTGCCTGGCGACTGATGAGGACGGCCTGTCTGGCAACTGATGAGGACGGCCTGCCTGGCAACTGATGAGGACGGCCTGCCTGGCGACTGATGAGGACGGGCCGTCTGATCTACCATGATGTGTTCCATTAGGGACCCGACGGCTCCATGCTTCTATTTTTCTGCTGGAGACAACGTCCCGACGTTGTGTAATGAACGGACGAGGCGCTTTGAAGAAAGGTGGGAGGAACGCGTAGACTTTTCCGCGTCTGTGACGTTCCCATAATATTTTCATTGGCATCATCTGAGGCTTCAAGAAAAAAAACGGGCTGTTTTACGTGTGAATGGCATTGTTAAACAGGGATATCACATGGGCAATACTTGGGGAGGAGGGAGGGGGGTGTTCCTGTTTCATGTCTGAATGGTCTTGTCAAACAGGGACATCGTGTAGGCAACGGTTCGAAAAACTTTGTAACAATGGTCCTTTTATTGGTGCTAGCAACGGTGAGTGACTTCAGTGGCCTCTGATATACAGTACAGTATATGAAAATGCAGACACTGTTACTACTGTCTTTCAGGGATAAAGCT